CCTAATACAAAAGCAGAAAAAAAGTAGAAAGAAAAGGCTAACGTATAGTAACATATATAACAATTCAAAAAAAAAAAAAAAAAAAAAAAAAAATTCAAAAAAAAAAAAAACGAACAAAAAAAATCAAAAAAAAAATTTCTTTACAACAATCTCAAAAAAAAGCTGATAGGTAATTCAATCCCTCACAACAAACAACAATTTGTTTTCCGTAACTTACATTAGTAATCCAATGGATATATGCATTTCATTCGTTTGTTACTATCATCATTCATACGTTGATTAACCTCTTTCATAACCTCAATACCTCGAATTTTCATTCTTTGACACCAATCTTTACGTTCTTTCGCGGGTACCTTTTTATATTCTTTGTGAGCATCTTTAACTTGTTTTACTGAATAAATTCTAACTATGAATGATCCTCTTCGTTTAGCCCATTTTTGTTGTTGGACATATGGAAGACCGAGTAAAACACAGGATGGGATACCCATTTCGCTTTCAATTCGATAATCTCTAACGAATAGTTAATAAATCGTTATTCAAGTTTGTATATAAATTGTGTAATTTATAATTTAAATGGACTTACCTAATAGTCATCTTTTCCAAACAAGTGGTACAACACCTAAGGTATAACGATTAGCTTTAGAATCAAATGATAAAAGTGATAATAATAATTATTAATTTAATTATTATGATAAACAATTTTTACCTTACTTTAAAAGCCCAATAAACTTTTCTAATTCTAGGTTGACCACAAACCATACAACCACGTGCAACTGACAATTGGCAATACTCTTTTTCGGTCATACCTTCAGGTGGCTCCAATTTCAAGTTATTTAAAAATCCTTTTCTTGAATCTCTCCAAATTTTAGTAGTGATTGAAGAATCAGATGGATTCAAGTACATTGCAAATTGTCTACAAACTTTCGAAAGGGAAAGTAAAGTTTGCGGATCGCAGAAATAAAGGATATTAATAAATAATTCTGGAGGAAATGAAACAATCGGATGTTGTTTAGAAGATCTCCATTTTTTGATTCTTGGTTTTCTTTGAGTTAATTTTTTAGGTGAATCATTAGTCAAAGTAGATTCTTTTAATTCGAAGACAAAATGAATGAATTAATTTATTTATTTTACTTTAAAAAAAGAGGAAAAAATTCATTTAAAATAATTTTTTTACAAACCCATGGTTGGGTGAGAAGATTTTTTGGGACGACGAACAATTCCTTTTTTTGATGTTTTTTTAAGGACGATGCCGGTTGAAGAAGACGCTTTAGTATAAGTCGAAGGAATGAATTTTATTCCCATTTCTTTTTAATAATGACAGCTAAACAAATAAAGTCAATTATATAAGTAAATTTTTTTTTACAAACCCATGATTGGGCAAAAAAAGAAAAGAATACAATTTTCACAGTCTCCCTTTTCGCTTTGATCTTATGCATTTTATAATTGATTATCTTTGCAATAATCAATTGGAACACCTGAGCCCCACCTGAGCGTATTATATTAAAAAGATAGGATCTTTTAATTATGTGATCATCAATACGATATCGACATAACCTGAATAAAATTGTCAGATGTCACAAATCTAACAAATCTATTTTATTGTCATTATTCGTTTTTTTTAAAAAACAAATAGTACTTACATATTTCAAAAAAAAAAAAAATGGCCAGATATAGTTTATCTGAGATCTTGTTAATGGTGCTTTCTTTTATGCTGCCGCCTGTTGGTGTTTGTTTGAAACGAGGATGCTGTACTGTGGATTTTTGGTATGCATATATTTTTTGGGGGGGTTTCGTTCTTTTTTTAAATGAAAACTAATAATAACAGATAAATGAAAACTAATATTTATACAATTTTTCATCCCGTAAACAATAGCATCAATATTATCTTGACGCTCATAGGTAAATTTAAATTTGAATTATATATTTAGATATCTATTTCTTTTTTTCGAATAAATCCAATTATTGTATTTTTCTTTTTTTTTTCGTCTTAATATAGGATTTATTCCAGGTAAAAAAAAGCTATAAAAAGTATTATGTATCAATGATCATTAACATGTAGATAACCTTTTACAATATTTTTTTATCTTTATTCATTCAAGGCATTTTACATGCCTTTTGGATTATCCATAAATATCGTGATGAGACTAGAGAACTAAGATTTCATTATTATGATGAAGTTTAATTCTAGAATTTATTTATATTACATAAAGGGGGATAGGAGTCGTATACAATTTTACAGTATACTAAAGTCATGAATTTTAATCTTGAATTTTCATTTCATTAATGTTATAAATAAAGGATATTGTTTTCAATTTAAAGAACTATCATCAACGCTAGCAACACGAATCCTAGTTTACCAAGTCGTGACCATCTCTAATAACACACTTAGACTTACGCTTTTGTTTTTTATAAATAAAAAATATAAATGAGAGTTCATATTTTTAATCGCAGTTTGAAATTTGAAATTTTTATTGACGTATATGTGATCTAGTGGATTTTGAACATTATGTAACTCTGACAGTTAATGTAAAAAGTTCAAATAATCAAATAATCAGCAATTTCGATATCTATTACGTGTATTATGCAATTTCGTGAGAAATAATGATCAAAATAAAAAAAAAAAAGCAAAAATAACAAGACTTTTTTCTTTAATAATAAAATTTCGGCTATCTAAATTATATAAAACAGCGATACAAAGTAACTATTCCAGGATTTTTAACTTGGGTTTGCCAAAACTAAATTTTTGCTAATCCTGTAATTTAAAATATTTAACATAAACACCGTACAAAGTAAAGAAACAATTCGTGTGGTCCTGCGTTTGTTTTTGTGGCTATTGCTATTTAATACTAAATAACTATTTAATACTAAATAACTACTGGAATATTTAGGTCGCCGAATTTTTATCTAATGCTAACGGTAAAAGTTGTCACCTAAAGTAGGTCGTACGTACACCCTCGCAAAAACCGAGAGTTGTGTCATTTTGTTATTGATTTTGCCTTTTGTCAATCTTGTTTGTTATGAAATCAATTATTCAAGAATGATCCATTTGTTTCATTAGCAGGTGATCCAAGAGGTCCACCGCCGTTGATATAGTCTGATATATTATGCGAATTTAAAGCCTGGTTAGATGTTTGAGTGTATGGATATTGTGTTCCAGATATATTAGAATTATACAAACTATTCTTGGTATTAAAAGTACGATGATAACCTTCTCCAGTCGGTAAGGAATTCCCTGAATATATCAATTGATATTGAAAGTTTAAATTTGCGTTGGTAGTTGGAATTGAAGCTCCATGCTGCATAGGCTGTGGATCTTGTATATACATAATTGGGTTTGAATAGTAATTTTCTTCTAATGAAGTTTGTCCATAAGATCCATTGAAAGCCGATGATGCATTAGTGTCTAACAATTGTAAGTTCGGTTTAAAGTCGATTAATGGTCTAGGTGTAACCGTATTATGCGAAGGACTAGAGACGACCGGATAAGTCGATCCGGATGAAATTGAAGTAGATGTTACTTCAGATTCTGATGTTTGTATTTTATCGTTTATTTTTAGCTGTTGTCTTCTTTTCCTCTCATTAATATACAATTGCTCGGCTTCACGAGCAATTTTTCTATATGCATTTTTTACATCATTTGATTCACTATGCCAAGATGTTGACGCCAATGAAGATACTTGTGTCATTTTTGGTCGAAGTCGCTGTTTTTTAAATTCTTGAACAAATGCTTTACGATAAATAAAGAACTCATTCAACATTTTCGGTGATTTCGTTTCATATTTCGATAACGAATCCCTGACTAAATCATCAGCCTTTATTTCAGGCGGATATGGTAGTTTGGGAATAATTTGTTCATCTTCAGAAAAGAAATATGGCCTGTTTGGATCAAGTAGATTGAGCTCGGTCGAGAACGCCCCTTTTCCGTTCTCTTCACCACTCATTTATTCTACTACGCACCAAAAAATTTTAATGAGTTACTACTTTAAGTTAGATGCAGTTATTCTGGATGTATCGACAATTAGTAAAACAATTTAAATGTCAATACTGAGAATTATAACCTATTTATAAAGAAAAATTGGTATATCAAGGGGCTAAAGTGTTACTGTGCCCGTGTCATTGACTCCAATCATAGTTACAATGTTTATTCATACTTACACGTATGGATGTAAACAAGGTGTTTTCGCATCGTTTCTCCGATTAGTGTGTACGCATTTCCTCTATAATTATCCCTAAACAGTATATATTAATAGGCGCAATAAAATTTGCTGCGCAGTCTTGCTACCCAAAAAAAGAAAATCTTGAACGTAAAATCGGGCGCAAAACGTAAATTCTGACTAAAAGTTGCTTATAAATTCCTCAGGAATCTTGATATATAGTACGTTCTTTCTCACTATATTCACGGATGTTTACTATATTCCCCAGGTCCAATTTTACCCATTTTTCAAATTTCTTTATTTGGATGATCTACATAAATTTTGGTGATCTACAAAATGTCGGGAGTGCAATTTTACCTATAAGGCTTGCTTAATCTCTAACCTCTGAACAACCCTAATTTTAATCCAAATAAGGAAATTTGAAAAATGGGTAAAAGCTCGGTCACGTGATTTGCGTAAGCTTACAGATAGAAATGGCGGTTTAAATAACGCTTATCGTTATCCTAATGTGCTTTTTAATAACTGTATTTAAAATACCAGTCTAAAAAATTTCACTAGCCAATCAGATTTCGAGATCAGGTGTAACGTTGCACGATC